GCTGTGTACAGTACAAATTTAGCCTTGACACTAATTGGCAATAATGCTAACCAGGTATTAAAGAGGTAGGTGACAGCCGATAAAATCTAGAGAGCAACGTAACTGATAACAAATTACACCCAAGGCAATAGGTGAGTCTTCATTATAAAAGTTGAAACCCTGCCTGGGTATTTCCACACGTTTTAATAAATTAACACACTCTCCACCCAAACTTTTTGGGCACTACGTACTTTAAATATATATGCAGTGTACGTGCGCCCCAAACGTACACACCTAGGTCTTTGGTTTTCTACTGTTTTTTTTTTCTTTTATGGTAAAATCTGCACAGCTGGCTCTTCATTCTTTGCTATTAAATAAATTAGTTTTATCCTTTACTTTTCCGAAGAGTCTTGATTCAAAGCCACCTCGCCGTCTCTCCTCCGTTTATGGTTTTAGTTCCTTCACCATGGATTGTTACCACTGCAGGCAGTCTGTGAACGCTTGTAAAGTTAGTTATCTTCTCTCGATCATATAAACTGCAGTAATTCATCATTTTGCTCGGTTAAATATCAAAGAAAATACAGAAAACGAAAACTGAACTACAGACATGGCTTGTTCATGCGCAGCAGACGATTCCGGTTTCCCTCCAGTATGGCTGCCGTTTGTTTTGATGACGCAGGCTCTAATGGGTCATATTTGGTGTCTCATGCAAGTGGCGCCGTCTATTTTCCTAGATCTAAGACTGGAAGAACTTGTTTGCAGTGTTTTGTCACGATTGTGACTAAGCATTTTAAAATAACAAACAGTTTTCCTGTGGCAGTTTTACAGTTTTTACTTTGAATGATTTTATGGGAGCAACCAATCGTACTCAGAGGAAGACATGGCAGACGTTAAGACTAAAATCGCTGGCGTCAAGCCTAATATTACAGATCAGATAAAGACTAAGATTGTCAGCAAGAAAGTTGTGGTGTATTCAAAATCATCTTGCCCCTATTGCAAAAAGGCTAAAGATGTTCTAAAGCAATATAATATACCGAAAAGTGATATAGATATTATAGAAATAGCTAATGATCCAAAGTGCAACGCCATTCAAAGTGCTCTTCAAAAAGTAACCGGAGCAAGAACGGTAAGTCGAATTCGAAAGATGTCAGAAAACTTGTGTCTATCAGACATTGATTTCATGCACGGTTTACATGCATCGTTTGCGGACAGTAATATCGGATCCCGTGAATTAACCCTGTACATTAATCTGTTTCACGAAACACCACTTCTGCAAATTTGGTGAAATATATTTCAGGTGCCAAGAGTGTTCATAAATGGAAAGTGCATTGGTGGTGGAAATGAAACTGAGGCTTTACACAGGTCTGGGAAACTGAAGGGCATGCTTGGACTTTAGTTACATATCTTTTCACCTGTTTTGATGGAGATTCTAATTGAAATGTCCAAGTATTCCAAAACCTACCAGTCAGCAAGAAGACTTAATACATCTTGATTAAGATTTTTCTGTGATTTTCTGTTTGTTTGAATAGACTGTATACACAACTTTGATAGTACTCTAAAACAGTTATAACTGTCTTGTAATATGTTTAAGAATAAGATGTACTTAATCTCGTGCCAACATAAAATTGTTGTCTTCACATTTTTAACAATCAGCACTATTTAGGTTTTATATTTACATTTTATTTTCTCTAATGTCACAATGGAAGATCAGGGAGTAAAATGTTTTATTTTACACCTGGCATTCTTAACTTCTGTGATACTGTAAATATAATAGATCTCTATGGATTTTCCAAGGCATTTAATCAGATACAATCTGGTACATTGTTGTGTAATATTGTTTGCTGTGATACTGTCTGTTCAGCTGTCAGTATTAGAAACACCTTTGTCTTTAAAAAATTTAGTGATAAGTTTTTACCAAAACAGAAATAAATAGCAGTGGTATTTTACATCTTTTGTAAATATTGTATAAAGCAGCTATTCATTGTTTTAAATCTTAGACATTCTAGTTTCTACATTTAGCAGAGTTAAGGGCAAGTTACAGCTTGATACAATATATATATATATATATATATATATATATATATATATATATTTTTTTTTTCCCCTGCAAGATTTAAATTTTGGATATAATAGTATAACAGTACTTTAGTGTTGTGAACATTAAAAGCATATTCTCAAATCGTTTTGACTTTACACTTTGTTTTAGCATGTCATTCTATTTACTATGAAAGAAATTCAAATCATGAAGTGCACATAATTGCACTTGATAGATACTATATCTCTATAAAGACTTACAACATAGTCACAGAAGTTTTGAGATTGCTGCTACAATTTTATTAACAAATGCAGCGTCTTTGTGCTGTTCTGTGTCTCATCTCCTTTAATGACCATTAAGTACTTTTTCTGATATATAATACATAGTGTGATTGAAAAGGTAGGAATTCTTTCCAACATGGAAACAAGGGTTGGGCACTATGTTTTGTGTCCCAACTCACATATTTGGTTATTATCATTGCACACAAAAATTAGAAAACGTACAAGTTTAAATTGAAAGAATGCATTTATTTGGCACTTTTAATTTTTAACTTTAAAAAGCTGAATCTATTTGTAGTAATGTATCTTTTAAGAAAGACCTCATGATGAATAGATTGAAAGAAATATTTCATTGGATTTTCTACTTGCACCATATCAAATCCAGTTGACATTGATAACAAGTTTTAACTTTTTGGTTTTGTAAGTTTTGAAAGAAAGTCAAAAGTAGGCTTTAACTATCAGGCATTCGTATTTAATTCAGCTTAAGGAATGTTCATAAAACTAAAATGGATATGGTTGTCAGTCCTATGGTATTTGTGCCCTCCTCCTGATGAATTTCTTAATATTCCAGTCTGCATGGTTCATCATGTTTGGACCATTATAAACACAAAGCACGTTCATGTGGTTTGAATACTTCAGATCTGGTAGCAACTAAAGCACAGAAAAATGCCATGATACATTATTATGTAATATGCAGTAAGTTTGGACAAGTTGGAAAAAACAGGAGTAAATATGAATGTAAAACCAACTTACTACATATGTCCAATTATCTACAGGGTTGCCATCATCAGTTATCAAATTGCATTGATTTATCATTTATCTTGCTATAAACAATGTAAACTTGAAACGTAATTTACCTTTATATTTGTATCAATCTATCTATGCAAATATCTATCAGAGTGTGATGATTTAGCACATTATCTACACACAGCTTTGTCCTCAACATTGGTCAAACACGGATACTGAATATCGGTCAAAGAAAAGAAGCCAACCCATGTACTGTTACAGTTGGTGTAAACTTTCATGGGGCTAGTGACTGCCTTACCTTTGGAGTGAGCAGGAAATACTGTCCAGTGTGTGGTCTACTCATGGTGTGCACCACCAGCTCAAATACCTTCCTCTCATTGCTGGCATCCATACCCTGGGAGGATAATAATGAGAATAAGTAATTTGCATGAACAACACATGTGAAAATCCAAATATCACAAATAACATTTTTCTGACCATTTCTATAACCACTTGTTAAAAATAAAGATGGATGGATGTAAAATCAATGCTCTACAAGTTGGTCAGCTGACCACTCACCTGGTTGATTTCATCCACACATCTGAATGGACACATGGACAGCTCTTGCAGTGCCATAAGGTAGAGTACTGTGGCCACACTGCACTCTCCACCACTCTGATGACCAGGGGTCAGCTCACGCAGCTGCTCATTTGCCCTGTACTTGACCTTGATACGGATGCCATATTTTTCGTAATCTTCCTAGAAAAGTGTTTTTAAAAATTCATTAGTAAATAAATTTATGACTTTCTGGAATATGAATGATGAACTTGATGATAATTTCCAATAATTAATGAAGAATTCACTGTATCACTGTGTGATACATAAACTATACAGGAAAAAAATAACTTGCTGGATTCTCAGGTCTATCCAAGTCCACTTCTCCAACGCAGTTCATCTGGCTGAAAAAGTCTCCAAAGTTTTTGTTGATTTTTTCCACCAGTTCCTCAAGAGGTTCAATCCAACCTCTTCTGAGCTCCTCAATCTCCTTTTTATGATCCTCTAGAGCTTTGATTTTTTCTTCTTTTTCTGTTTCCAAGCGTCTGATTTCACGCTTCCGTTGGTTGAAGTCTCTAATTACCTGAATTATCATGAAAATTCTACTATCAAGATATTTTTAATAGTCAACAGAATACTACTAAAACCTGCTTTAATTCTTAAAGATATATATATATATATATATATATAATAAATAGCAAGAAAATTACAAAAGAAATTAAAAATGCCATTTTTAGAACAAAATATATATATATATATATATATATATATATATATATATATATATATATATATATATATATATATTTGAAAGTTGACAGGCTCCAGGAAATTAAAGCCTTTGAATATCTCACACTTAAGTTTATAGGTTATAGGTAGTTTGAATTTCTGGGCTACTGAAACAACTAATATACAAGAATATTGATATGCTCACTACCAACTAAAGTAATATTTGAACTGTGGATACATTCTTTCTTCTAAAATTGTCAGAGAAATGGTCAAAATTACTCTGCCAAAATAATACCCTAGCTAAATAATCTACTTACAGAGTCATCCACAGCTAGGGTGAGGTCTGCTCTTGCCTGCTCCTCATGTATGGCAGCATCTATGTCCTCTAATCTGTTGGGACAGGATTCAAAGGCCTAAGAGAGTAATTGCAACTTTGAAAACAAGCTAATGCTCAATATAATCATTGAGGTATTTTTGAGTGATTTTATCCTTGTCTGAAATAAATATCCTAACTGTAAATGTGCAATTATATCTAATTCATCAAAATTCAAAATGCAAGGTTCATGTCAATATAAAATATTTTATATTTTTTGAATGCACATTCTCAGTTTTATTAACTTGATACTCATTCTTTTCATTAGTTTTTTCTTCTTCTTCTTATTTTATTTATTTTATTTTTTTGTATTTCACCTTTTTCATTTCTGCCGAGAGCTCTTGATCTTCCCTTGTTCCTGTAGCAGCTTTAGCATCAGCTAGCAGCCTTTTCGCAAGTTCTTTCATCCTTCTTAAGTTTTCCTTAAATTCTTCACACTCCCTCTGAAATCAAATAAAACATCCATAATGTCCTGTGATAGGCTCCCTGGTATTGCAAAGAAAGATAAAATGGTCAATTTGAAAAGAGAGAGAATGCCGCTCTACAGGTATGTCACATTAACTCTTACTAAGAAAGGAAATAAGTTCAATGAAGTTCTTCAAATGAAAAGACAGACTGCTTACAGCCAAAGCACGAAATTATACAGACAGAGTCACTGTGTTGATCCCAGTCTTCATTTTCTAATGCATCAATGTCTTAAAGATATAAGTACCTCCTGAGAGGAAACCTAACAGCACACCTACCTCTTGTGTCCTGAGGGAAGTTGACTGCTCCCGTAACTGACTTTCTATGTCAGAAACTTCTCGCATAGCTTCGGAATGCTGAAGAGCAAGTCTGACCTTTTCCATGCTCAACTGTAAACATTCCTGAAAAATATACAGAAACATTGCATGTCATTTCAATCAATCACAATTGAACTTCTAAAAATTTTACTGCACCCATAAAGACAACTATGTGTAAATGTAATGAAATCAACTCTTCATCTGCAAAAAACAGTAAGTATGCCTAACACCTACACTGATGATGGAGTAAAATGGTGAAAATCAGGAATATAAGACTGTTCAAAGTTTTGTATCACAACAGAAAATATATGCATGCACATATTTTTATATTTAAAGGTACATACAAACAGAGCATCGGTGGAGCCTAGATTCCCAGTAACACATGTAAACCACTTCTACTAGTTTCTAATATGACTCAAATAATTTGACATGCCAAGGGATAAACTGAACAGATCACTCTATCAGCCATAAAAGAGCTTTAGACTGCTCCTTTCTTTAAATTTTTGTTCGGAACTTTAACCTACTTTCGTGATCTACTTTTCTGCCCCATTGACATACAGCATAGAATGCTAGCAGAAAAATCCGTTCAAACATTTTCGGGGAAAATAAAACAATGCCTTTTGGTAATTCTCTTAGTTATACTACTTGAAACTATATGCTGGCATTTGGTTGGTTTTTGTGGCAAAAAATTGACTTTGTATGCATCTTTAAAGGGACCCCCTATCATACATAATATATCAGTCTAGCCTAAATGAAAGCTCAGAACAGTACCTGTGTGTGTTTTTTCAGATCACTGAGAAGATCAATCTTCCTTAGGTTTATTTTGTGAATCTTTTGGTTTGCTTTCGCTTCCTCAGATTCAATATTAATTGCCTCTCCCTCAGTGCGCTGGATACTAAGAAGAATGAAGAATATGAATGTCACTGACATAAATAAAACTAAATATAATGCTAATATCCAAACATTTATCCTTTAATTATCCTTACATTTTACACAAATAACACTCTAAGCATGGTCTGCATAAACCATTGCTCCAGTATTTCACTGAAATAAGAAAAGTCTTCTAAAAATCTTTCATGAAATTTACAGAATCATATAGCCATTTTTTTTTTTTTTTTTTTTTTTTTTGTATAGCTAGGCCATGAAACTTTTTCTACATATATTTTCTTACATTTCTTTCTTGGCTCTAATCTTCTCAGCTAATCTTCTTTTCACATCTCGTTTACTCTGTAGATCTTTCTGTTCAATAATATTTGAAAGAGTGCAAACAAAGTGAATATATAAACTACATTCCCATCATTGTCACAATTGAATCTGTTAGCTTTGAGTGATAAACGCTGCAATAAGCCAAATAAATGCTGTTATTTGCCTCAGGAAATAAGAATATTTTATTTTAAACCACTCAAATTTTTCATCTGGCTAAAAACCCAACAATTCTAATCTTCAAAGACTTTCATTACTTAAGAGTCCTCAGAGTATATTGTTCTAAATTTTTACAATCTACTTCACTTTAATGACACATTTACGTAAGCATTAATACCTTTTCTTGTCTGAGTTTATTCAGCTGAATCTCAAGTTGTTTGTACGTGGCCTCATGGTCCTTGAATTCCTTCTCCTTTGTGTGATATGTCTCACTGAGTCCCTGAAGTTCAGCAGCTAAGGCCTGTTCCCTTGCAACATCTGAACTGGATGTAAGCAGAGAAGGCTGCCTGGATGGGAAAAATGAGAGGAATACATGGTCATTCCATTTTGTACATGCCTGTCAACAGTTTGCCACAGACAAGGAGGTACACCTTTTTAACTGTTTTTCAACTTTAAATAACTAGATAACATGAGCATCATATGATTGGGTAATGGGAGCTTTTTACCCCTAGCAAACTTGGCACATTAACTTTTGTATAGTCCAATAAATAAATAAAATATATGTACATGTGCTACTTATAAAATATATGTACATGTGCTACTAATAAAATATATGTACATGTGCTACTCAGCATGGGGGTAGTTAATGTGTACAACATCTAAATATACATGCATATGATCTTTTCTATTTTACATTAAAATACTTACATGTATCTGACATGTGTTTAGTTAGACAAAATGTATTCACACCAAAACAGTTTACAGAATACATGTATCACACCAATACAGTCCTGCATGTCATTACCTTAATTCAGTAACTCTACTGGACCTCTCTCTGTTTCCGTATTTTGAGCGCTTTACATTGTACTGAAAAAAAAAAAAAGATTTTCACCATATTAACCACATGAGACAGGTTACCTTAATACAATTTAACACTAATTCTCTGACCTCTTGATATGAGCCTACCTTAGTTAAATACACCAAAGTAAAAGCTTGGATTAAAACATAGGTTTGATTACACTTAAGCTGCACACACCAGGGAGTTTGTCAACACAGTTTTTATCATGTACAAAACCACATACCTGATGGTCCTCTGTATAGAATGTGTTAAGATCTGGGTGTTCTCTGAGTAGGACCTCCACCCTGTCCCTGGTACTGGCATCTCCCACTGGGATCTGGTGCACCTTGTACATAGCACACAGAAAAGCCATCACAGGATCAGGACACTCAAACAAGTCCTTCAAATAACTGTGGAAACCATATTTACTGAAAAGCAAGAGAAATGAAAAGTAGGTCAAAGGTCAATTTTAAGGTCACTTTAAGATTGCCAGTATATGACTTCCTATTCAACTTCAATAGAGACTATGGACCTATCTCTGCCAGGTTTGGATTTAAAAGGGAATCAAAATTTGCAAAGTTCAGTTCATGGTGAAAAGTAGGTCAAAGGTCAATTTTAAGGTCACATGTAGATTGCCAGTATATGACTTCCTGTTCAAGTTCAATAGAGACTATGGACCTATCTCTGCCAGTTTTGGAGATAAAAGGGAAGCAAAATTTGCAAAGTTCAGTTCATGGTGAAAAGTAGGTCAAAGGTCAATTTTAAGGTCACATTTAGATTGCCAGTATATGTCTTCCTATTCAACTTCAATAGAAACTATGGACCTATCTCTGCCAGTTTTGGAGATA